TCTCTCTCTCTCTCTCTCTCTCTCTCTCTCTCTCTCTCTCACACACACACACACACACACACACACACACACACACACACACACACTCACACACATCTCTTGATTATTTGATTTTTTTTTTTTTTTTGAAGTTCACATTCCGTTCTTGGCCCTTGCCAGTTTCTTTCTTTCTGCTCCTGACATGGGACTGGCCCAAGGAACCCATGCGTCTACTGACTGCATAAGTCAGATCCTGAGTTATCGTTCTATTCGTGAGCATTGCGGCGCGAAGTTTTCCTCTGGAAAGAGCTACTCAGCTTGTGCGACGTATCCTAATTATCTTTAAAATAAAGGCTGTGTCTCCACGCAGCTCCGGCATTCCTACCGCAGTGAACGTGGATGAGTCCACTGTCAGTCAGATGGGGACAGAGAGGAGCAAAGAACTCTCCGTACTGTGACATCTCACAGTGTTTTCACTTAGCAGAAACAGTCTCCCCGTCATTCCTAGTGGGGACCACGCTGGGCAGCGGGGGGCTGTTGGGAGTTCAGGGCCAGTCATCGTGTTAGAAAAACATGAACGGACAACTCACCAGTTCCAGACATTGTCTATGGCCGTAGGCGGCAGCATAATGGACGCTATTGTAGCCTTCCTTGTCCCGGATGGATGGGTTTGCATCGTTTTGAAGCAGAAACTCGAGGCAGCTGTAAGCATAAAGTCGCAGCCTTAGAAATGTCTGTGCCAGAAGGGACAATCAGCACAAACCCCTCTGTTAGGAACATCCCACAATGCACCTTGAGACTGGGAATGTCAGGGAGCCGATTACAATATGCAATTATGTACTGGGGTGGAAGGAGAACTCATGGTCTCTCTGTCTGTCTTTATTTCATCTTAAAATAATGCTCCTAGAAGTCAGGGCAAGCGTTAGGAACAACTAGGCAATTGTCTTTTTCCCTTCTCATCTTAAGGTAGAGGACATATCCATCATCAAGATTACCAAATAATAAGATTAAGATCTCTGTGTTCACAAGTCTCAAATGTAATAAAGGACTGGCCAGGCCATTGCAGCTGGGAAACCACAAGAGAGAAGGAACTATTTCTGCATCACTGTTGGAGATGAAGATCAAGATGCTCAGAACTGTAAGTTTAAAACAGAGTAGGAAGGGAAGAACCCCAAAGGAGACTGAATAATAGAAAAGACCCAAAGAGTGGCCACACATGTAAAAGGTGTCACGAATTCATCCAGTGACTCCACGTGAAGGAAGAAACATAAGTCACACCATCAGGAATGTAGATTAGACAAAATTATGAATTTCAAACGCCTTTTTTGGCATGGTGGTCATTTTTCTGAAAATCTGACAGAACAAGCTGAAAGCATGTCTCACTTGCAGCTCCATGCAGCCGAGGACAGCCATGAATGTGGCCCAATACAGAAGGACACTGACTGAAAACATTTAGAGGGTTTTCTGCAATGACAGAATTGTGTGTGCGAGGTCAGAAGGCCTCCTGGACACACTCGGCAGAGGGAGAAGTTTGCCTCCAACTTTGCTGGGGAACCCCAAGTTCTAGAACCCCAGAACTCTGGGATGCACTGGGTATTCTGTTCTTAGAGGGAATAACCAGCTGGACAAATGGGTCCCCAACAAGTGCACGCTGATTCAATTTCTCACTCTACATCAAGACTTGCTAATTTGAGCTTTTTTGAAACAGGGTCTCGTGTAGCCCAGGCTGGCCTCACTACGTAGCTGAGGATGACCTTGCACTTCTAACCCTCCTCCTTCTGCCTCACGTTCTGGCATGGCGGCACGAGCCACCACCCACGCATGGCTCTCAGGGGCTTAAGATTCTAAATCTAAGCCTCCCCATTAAATAAGATTTTCCCGTGGGAGCTTTCTATAGCTGATTCACAAACTTTGAAGTTGCATTTCCTACCTTTTGGTTTAAAGCCAAAGGGAATAAAAAGGCAATCTGCTTCTTTAATTTCTAGAAAACTGGTGAAAGATAAATTTTGCAAACCCAACCTACTTGTCATATTTATCTATAAAATGCTCCAAAATAAATCAAACTTTTATTAAAGTCCTGCTCTCATGCTGTCTTTGGTCCTTCATACCTTAAAAGGAAGTATTTTTTTTATTTGGGTAATTAAACGTCTGTGGACAGGATCCTGTGCATGACTCACTGTAAACTGAATGTAGCCCTTTACATAAATCATCACCAGGAAGAACATTCTATGGACATGCAACCCCCAGTCTCTGAATGGGTTGCAAAAAAAAATCATTTGGTAAGCTCAATATATAATTTGGAAAACATTAAGAATTCCTCCCAGAGAATTACTTAGTCCGGAACATAGCTAAATTACATGACATCTGTACAGATACAGCAGCAGAAGCAATGTGGAATCTGGGTACTCTCCACATAGTTCCTGGGGAAAAACAATGTTCAACTGCCGAGACCTATCCTTCCTACTCCCAGGGCGGACTAGCAGCTCGGCCACTTGAGATGCGAGATCAACAGAGCATTAGGTCCCTGGTGAACAGGGGGGTGTGGTCATTCCTGGCCTTTCCTCTGCTCCTTTCCTCACCAATGAGCCTGGAATGGCACAGGGCAAGCATTGAACTCAGTGGAGAAAGTGAGGCTTGCTGAGTCACTTTTAAAAATTCTCTATTAGAATCGTTTTAAATTTAGATGTGTTCAGGTGAAACGTGGTCATTCTGTTTCGCTCACAGCAGTGTCCGTCTCTATCCCAGAAATGTCCAGTGATGTCCTATAAATAACCTGCACCGGGGCTATCCTCAGAGTCTAACATTTTGGACACAGGGAGGGGAGCAGAGTGGGCAGCGTGGAGGCCTTGGAGTGAGCACAAGCATTCAGGCACTCATTCCTTTGGCAACTTGAGAAGAGAATAAACACACTGTGGATCACAGGCCTGCAGACTCTCAGAGCCCTGCGTCTCCTGGGGAAATGGGGCACAAAGTGGGCAAACCGGTTCACTTGCTTGTTCACAGATTCAATGGCCACTGCACTAAGTGCCGGGCTCACCAGGACCACCAATCCTGATCTGTTTGTGGCTAGACTAAGGAGGAGGGCTCATGTGGCAGTGCCCCTGGGTGATGATGGCAGACACTCCAGACCCTTTCATAGCAACAGTGAAGTCCCTGTCTGAAGCCAATATGGGGCAGGGGAGGTGAGGTGAGGTTTATCAGGGGTAGCTGCTTACAAGAAGCAAGGGGTTCAGCCAGGTCTGAAGACCCTTATTCATAGAATCTGCTAAACCGTTGTCCATGGGTCACCAAAGTAGAACCTCAGGTCCCCCGTGGTATATGACACATGACAGAGTCAGATATATTGAAGACCTAAGGCTGCTGGACCATCACAATGGTAGTCAAAGCAAGCTTATCATTTTATAGAGAGTGCCACACATAAGAACAGATGGATAGTGAGTCTATGTCCCTCCCTTTCTCAGGATCCCAAATGAAACCCCCAGTAGGAAGACAGGCATGTGGCAACCCAGATGGACGAGAGAGTGTGGCATCCCATCTGACGCCCAGAAGAGACTCACACTGCGGCATCTTTTTCCTTCATTTCCCTGGTTCTGTCCAGTTCTTCAGAATTGTCATGTGCGTTTCCTAAGATCATCTTACTTCTCAGCGGAAGACATAGGGGAAAAAAATCACAATTAATTTTTTCATTAAAAATTGATGATAGTTTTTGCACAATTATATCTCCGTGATTTGATCCCAACCCAAAAGGGACATTATTGGTTCTCTCCAAGGCATCTAGGAAATCTATTTCCTCCCAAGGAATCCAACTGAGAACATCACTCTCCTAAACCGTCTCCCTGGCTCTGTGTGATTAAGGGCAGAATCAAGCTGCCTACCCCTCTACAAGCATACTAGAACTTTCCAAGTAAAAAGAAACAACTCATCTCAGGCTCCTCCACCCGCTACTGTACCTGCGTGCTTTCTGGCCAGGCCAGCATCTCACTTCCTATAGGTGATCCTGTCCTTCCTCTCCTAGGTGTTCCCTTCCGGTCCTTAAAACACAAAGTGTACTTGCTCTCTAGCCCTCCCCCAGTGCACGGCACTGCTCAGTGAATAGCCTGTGTGCCACAAGATCCCAAGTGTGACATCTTATTAGAAACATAGGCAAACACAAATGATGTGGAGCTGTGCACACTCATTTGGGTGCATGCTTGTGTGTGCACAAACACGTGGAGGCCAGAGGTCAACTTCGGGCATCCTTTCCTAAGCGCCCTCCCACTTGGGTTTTGAGACCGTGTGGCTCACTCCTCTGCAGGTCATCTAGGAGGCCTGACTGGCTGGTCAGCAGGCTTTCACCGTGCCTGGGTTGTGTTAAGATTATTTCTTATTGTTTTTACTTATGTGTATCTGAGTGAAAGCCACATGTGTGCAAGGGTTCATGTGGGTGAGATCCCTTAGAGCTGGAGTTACATGTGATGTGAGCCAACTGAACTTGGGTCCTCTGAAAGAGCAGCAGGCATTCTTAACCCATAAACCATTTCTCCAGCCCAAATACCTGGACAATTGTATGTAGGTTCTGGCTATCAAATTCAGACCTCGTGTTTGCATGGGAAACACTTTACACAGCCATGTGCATGTGTATACATACACACACACACACATATAATTGTTTGCTTTTGGAGACAGGATCTCTTGTAGCCTAGGCTATCCTCAAACTCTCTATGTATCAGAGGACAAACTTGAATTCCTGATCCTTCTGCTTCCACCTGCCAAATGCCAAAACTACAAATGGGTGCCACCACACCTGGCTTTTCGTCCATATTTTTTAAACAACGAATCACAATCTGTTACTAGGTGAAATTAATTAGGTTGAAGCCACCAAAATGAGGTCGCAAATATAATGTATCGCATACAATAAACATAAATATGGTTGTGAGGATTTTATTTCTCATGTATGAACATATATGTGAACATGTGCGCTGTATCATGACATGAGATGTGTTTCTTACTTGGATCATCATCTTGAATGTTTGAAAGGCCTGGCGGTATAGACCAACGGAAGAGCACACGCTTAGCTTGCTTATCCACTAAAATTACATGTTCAGATGTCATTGTTCTCAAAAAGAAGCTATTAGCTCTAACCCAGAATCAGACGCACCACAGGGGGCAGCAAATAATTCAACCGTTGTCATGCAAACTCATCAAGAACGACAGGAACCGTGAGGCCCCGTGCCTTTTCCCCTTTGCAGTGGCTCAGTGGTGTCTGCTTTCCATGCCTAGTCACCTATAGTCCAAATACTTTTGGAATAAGAAATTCCTCTTCTGCAGCTGCCGAATGAGTGTTCTTGCCCAGGTTGGGAAGAACAGTGTCTAATCCCGTCACAGCAAGGCTGAAGTTGAAGACAGCTGGGATTATCAATGGTGGGATTTTTTTGGTTTTTGGGTTTTTTTTTTTGTTTTTGTTTTTGTTTTTGTTTTTTACACAGGACATATATATTAGCAGGTGACGCATTAAAGTGGTAATGATGGAAACTATTGTGTATGCCAAATAAATTTCAACAGGTTTCCAAAGCCTGGACTGAAAAGCCTGGGCTTGACAGCTCTACTTGGCATTTAACCCAAAAGCAGAGAAGAGAGGCAAGTGTGTGACGGCACATAATAACCAAACCTAAAAAGAGAGAATGGGGGAGCCTGGGGAACGGCTGACCCTCCGCTCTGAATGAGACACTCTTCATGTGCCGCTCTTAGGAGGCGGTGTGAAGAAAACCCAAGTCCTCCCATCCCTGGCTCCGCCCCAGACGAAGCACAAACAGGTTCTTTTTACTTTCTGTCCATGTCCGACGCAGCAGCGTAGTGCAGCGCGGTCCGGCCCCAGTCGTCTGCTTCGTTAACATTGGCTCCCGTGGTCACTAACGCTTTAACACAGTGGAAATGACAGTTTGCAGCTGCGTAGTGCAAAGGGGTCCTGAAAAGCAAACAGTGGTTATTATTATTGTTGTTGTTGTTGTTACTATTGTACTTTAATCCAGCAAACAAACCCATCACTGACAGAAGCGCTGGCTGCCCTACTCTTGCTTCAGCTCTCAGTGTATGAAAGCCCAGGAACGTAAAACCAAGTCTGCAAAGACAGGTGGCCTCCAGCAAGGCCAGCCATGTGGCACTCTTTCCTTCCTATTCCTAGTGCCTGCTCTGGTTAGATCTATGTCACTGCCTGCCCGTGACAAGACTGTCCCATGAAGGATCATCCAGATCGTCTTCATGAAGACCATCCTTAGAGACTGATAGGGAAGAGGGGAGGATGGGGAGGGATAAGAGAGGGCAAGGAAGTACATAAATACAAAGTATGCACTATCTGCATGTAAAAATATGTCACAATGGAATCCACCGTTCTGCATTAATCAATGTATGCTCATGGACTTTTTTTTTTTTTTTTTAACAAACCATCCTTAATCTAATCAAGCTTCTATATAGTTTCCAGTTGGGTTTTCAGAGGACCAATCCCCACCTCTGACAATCCCATCCTAAAACCGACAGTCTTCCCCATTGACGAGGCTTATTTTCTCAGCCTGGAATCGAAGGCTTTCCAGCTGTCTCAGTTTCTTCTGCAGAACCTCTCTCCCTGATGCACACCATGAACCCAGTAATGAATGCAAACTGGATGATGAAGGTCCCTAGATCACGGCCACACTTCACCTTCGCTCATGTCCACTTCCCCTTAGGAGCATCCTTTCCTAACATTGTACCACAGCTTCCTTTCTATTCCAGAGGCTAGCCTCTTTGTCTGAGAAACAGGAAGTAATTTATAGTACTTATTTTTAGTTTCCAATTATTTGACATTTTTTTTCTGGTGTGACTAACCAATATCTCAGGAATAATAACTAAATAGAATACTAAAAATAAAGTAACTTTAGCTCAGAAATTATTTATTAGTTTTTAAGCATTTTTTTTTTCATTTTGTAGACAACAACTTAGGGCTCATTACTAGTTGATTTTTCTCTTCAGTCCAAAAGGAAGAATTATAATTATGAAATTACAATATTTTATATATTGGACTGATTCTGTTTTAATTAATTGGACTGAAAATGACTAGGCATCAACAGCCCCAACGGGGTTTACAGGTAGAGAGAAAGCTCGATTCAGGGACACATGCCTACAATCCCAACACTGGGGAGGCTGGAGCAGAAGGGTTGTGAGTTCAAGATCAGTTTGGATTACACAGCAAGACCCTGCCTCAAAACTAAACGCCAGGTCTATGGATGGAACTCAGCAGGAGAGGGTTTGCCAAGTATGAGCAAAACTGTGGCTTTGATTCGTAGCAACACACACATACACACACAGCAGAGAGAGAGACAGAGACAGAGAGAGATGGAGAGACAGAGAGAGGAGTAGATAAGAGGTAGAAGAGGTGGGAGGAGGGGAGGGGAGGAGAGGAGGGGAGGGAAGGGGAGAGGAGGGAGGAAATGACAGCCCTTGTTTTCAGGAAACTTGCAGTCAGAGGGGGAAGACGCCACTAGTATGGTGCAGTCACGGGGTACTCAGGGTGCTTGAGGAACACAGAGGAGGGACATTTCCGTAAGAGTGACAAGGAGGTTTCATTTGACCCGAATCTGGAAGGATAAGTAGAGTCCTCACAGGTGGGTGGTAGGGAAAGAAATCTGACAACCCCGAAGAACTGGGGGGGGGGGGCAGGTAGCGAGGACCTGCTGGAGGGAAAGAGCATGTGTACACACATACCTACATGCAGTCATGTGTCACACGTGCATGCACACATGCATGCAGTAGTCATGGGTCACAAGCAGGTTGTGTTGTATGAACTGTGGTATCAGGTGGTTTTGTCATTGTATGAATCAAAACTGTTTGAGATACATGGGACCGCTATGGTGTATGTGGTCAAGTGCTGAATAAAATGGGGTTACATGACTCTCCGCCCGCCTCTGTGTGTGTGTGTGTGTGTGTGTGTGTGTGTGTGTGTGTGTGTGTGTGTGTGTGTCCATGAACCAGCCAGCATCATGATATAGTTTAGCTATCCAAGGGGTTACGAAGGTGAAGAAAGTTCTACGATCCTCTGGTGCTTTGTGCTCATTTAATATTTCAAATGTCTAAAAAATTATCTCAAGATGAAACATCCGATACAGAAAACAAATGCTATAGATCTTTTGACCATATTTAACATTTTTTATTTTTATTTGTGTCTGTGTCTGTGTGTACATCTCTGGCGGGGGAGTGGGAGGTTCCAGAAGGGCAGTATTAGATCCCCTGGAGCTGGAGCTAGAGGCAGTTCTGAGCCAGCAGACATGGGTGCTGGGAACTGAACTCCAATCCTCTGCAAGGGCAGCAGGTGCTCTTAACTCCTGAACTGTCTCTCAAGCCCATATTTTGAGTCTGGTGCACTAAAGTGGTCTATTCTGCTATTTTTCTAAAACACATCCAGGTAGGCAATTTTTAAATAAGCAGAAGCTGAGAGAGCCCTTATCTCATGGCTCTTCTCAGCTTTATGGGCGTCGCCTCCTGAGGATGGGATGGCCCAGTCATCCCATGGCGATCATCTCAACAACAGGCCTGCTCCATGGACCATTCCCCACTCTCGTGTACGCCCCAGAGGCAAGTCAGCCTGAATACATACCTCCCACATTTGTCCTTTTTGTGAAAATCTGCTCCACTGCTCTGCAAGAGTTTTATACATTCTACATTGCTAGAAAGACAGGGAAAATATAATTAGTATAGTCAGGGTTAATTACTAAGGTACCTCCAGGAAGAGGCATTTTCTGCAGAGTACGAGCTGGGATGGAACGATAGCCTGGGGTCTAAAATTCCGCTAACAAGAAATAACCTGAACATATTGCAGGAACACTGCACCGTAAGGATCTAAAATTCCTTTTCCAGAACTAATAAATCAATAAATGAAATGGTTTCATGGAACATTTTCAACCCAATGACTAAGGAATTTAATGATTATTATATGATTAAGCCCTCCGATGACAGCCTCATCATTTACCCTAAAATTCTTTTTTCAGATCCAGGAGGAGTTTATGAAACCACAGCAGCCTAATAACTCCGTGTCACCTTTAAACAATGAAGCAACATGGCTGAGCACTACCGTTTATCACGGCATAATAAATCCCCACAATAACCACTTTCAACTCGATACTCCTTAATGGAAACAGCTGCATGTCCCTGTCTTTGTAGCCCGGGTAAATGAATGTGCTGGACCAACACTGGAAGTGATGTAATGGAGCACAGTGATCGTTCCAAGCAGCTCTGCCAGTCACAAGAGCCATAAATCACACAGCACAGAGACAGGACCTACCGAAGGGAACTTTCCTGTCGAAGGGCATGGAGCTAATATTCATTCTAATAGGCATTTCAAACATAAACCCAGCATGGTGTGTTGTCACTTTCGGGGCAGGTCTGATATTCTTTAAAATGTAGGCATAGCCATCCATCATCATTCTAAACTTGAAACATTAAGAAGTGGCTCAGAATGTATTGTTTAATTGTAACTTAAATAAGAAAAGTGATCTCATTAATGATAAGCCTTTGCAGAGCTCTTCCCCATCCCACACCTACCCTTCATAGCCCCTTTTCTCAGACAGCTAGATGTAAGTCACAAAGTACACGAATTATTAAAGGAACATTTGAATTGGTACAGCATGTCAGCTAATATACAGCACCTATTTCCACCTAATGATAGATGGAAAAGAATCAAAGGCACGGGTGGATTAGACCTGTATGGGTTCATAAATCTCATCTGGTTTGAGGATGGGGTTGAGCGAAGGGGTCTGTTTTAAAAATACAGTAACTCTGTATAGGCGTTAGTATATGACTCCAGAAGGGACCATGTAAATAAGGGGCTTCATAGTTTCATGGTTCATTCACCTCTGATAAATAGGTAATGTCTTTGCTAACACGCATGATAAATGGAGGATTCCTTAAGCACTAGGAAGCTGATTAAAAACCAACACCTTCCCAATACAAGGTCATCCAAAAGACACTACGGTTGGTCAATATGTGGCCATATATCAACAATATATTGATCAGCGCTTTAATCTAATCATTGATTTGCTAAAGGAAAAAACTGATGAAAAAAGGCTCTTTGCTACAGGGGGAAAGGCAGGGAATAAATCACTCTCGCCCATCTTTGGGATTTCCTTGACCTTTGTTTCCATTTAATCATCCTAAAAATTTCAAAACTCGTTTTTATTACAAAATGTCTAAATGCACGTAAACTGATTCAAGCATTTATCCTCTTAATCACCTCCCATCCACTGGCAACAAAGAGGAGAAACTTAAGAACAAAGTTCTAAGTAATTTCTTTCGGTAGAAAAGATGCCAAGCAGAAATCCATGCTGTGTAGTCTGTCATCTTTCAGCCATGGGGATCTCTTAGGGGCATTGAAAGATAAGAATACAAGCTCTATGCACTACACAGGATGAACTATTTGTTTTTCTTTGGAAGGAGAAAATCTGAGTGATGTGTGAACAGAGTCAGTGACACCTGACATTTGGCAGAAGTGATTGGGACCCCATTTACTAAGGAAATTGCCTTTGGTTCATGGGCAGCTTATGTCGATTAAGATGTATGAAGCCATCAAGTTTATGGAGTCATGACTATGCAGGAGTACTCACCCTCCTGCGGCAGCGGCGTGAAGGCACGTTCTTCCAAACGTATCTGGGGTGTCTATTTCAAAGCCTGCAGACAGCACGCGCTCATTACTAAACAAGGATACTATGCTATACTTTTGTCCTAGTTAAACCACAAGAAACATTGCAGAGACAGAAAAATCAGTTAGTAGGAAGATCAGGATGCAAGCGGTCGTAGTCAGAAAGAAGCAGTCACAGGAACAAATGGTCACTACTTTAGCCTGGCAATTTTATAGGAAGCACCGTAAAGTCGAGAAGTAGAGAGGGATTTATTTTTTGCATTCAGCCCTGGGTGAGCCACAGCCCCAGTATCAATGCCAGGATAGAAATTTAGGAAACCAATTTGAGATGAGTGGGGCAGTGGACAGGCAAACAGAACATATGAGAAACATGGAAGGCAGAGGAGTAATCCTAGGAGGCAGGGAGAGAAATTTTCTTACGTGTGTCCCAACCTTTGTGTGAGTCTAAGATGTGAGAAACATGCTTTCATGCAGGGATTATTTTTAAGCATGCCAAAAGTAGTGAAAACAGAATCCACCATAGGTAAAGTACTTAGAGGAGGAAATACGCCTCTGGGGCAGCTAAGGAATTAATTCATAAACAATCTCCACCCTGCAGGCTTCTACCACTTTGGAAAGCCCAGGAACTTCTTAATAGATGGGGACTGGCAGGAGCAGAGATAAGAAAGATCAGCAAAGCTCAAAGCAGAGAGAATCTCTGTTTCCAGAAAGCCCCGCATTAATATAAAAATATAAAAATTAAACCTTCTTGGAGGGGGATCTGCCTTGATGATGTTTCAGTGCCCATGGAACTGGATGATAACATGACATTTTCTACCATTGAAATATTGAGGATTGGGCCATTTTCTTTTGTTGAAAAGTATTAAATGTTAAGTCACCAATTTAAGCCTCAATTTTTTTTTTCTTCTATGACTTAAGGTTCCCATAGTTCAGCTCTGGCCATTCCCCCCACCAGTTCTGGACCACTGAAAAATCAGACAAGATTTTTGCCTGCTGATGCTAGGCAGCGGTACTGGCATCCAAAAAGCTTTGGCTTCAGGGACCGGCAGGGGCTGTCTCATGCAGGCAGGCTATGGAACAACCTCACCCTGCCAAGGAAAGGCAGTGGCCACATACAGCCTGCCAGAGGCCAGACACCTGAAGCCATTTGGCTCAGGGACAGGACACACCAGGCCTGATCGCTGGCATGGATGCACTTACCAGATGATAATAACTTCCTGCAGCAGTCGGAGTGAGCATTTAGGGCGGCTAAATGTAAGGGGAACATGCTATGGATTCCACACCTAAAGAGAAAAACAGCCACTCACAGTAAAAGATCCCAAGACGCGTGCAGAACATCTACCCTCTGGCAGTCCTGCACTGAAAACTCTCACAAGGATCCCTGACGTGATTTTGTAATTTTTTTTCCATTCAACAAATAATTACACAACTATTTTCTTCCTTAAGATGATCTTTGTAAACCAATCAAAAGCCCATAACCATACAGATGTGTGCATATATCTGTATGTACTTATACGTGTGTGTATACTTATGCAATGTACGTACATATGTGTGCATGTACATATGTATGTATGTACATGTGTCTATATGTACCTGTGTATGTATGTACATATGTGTATATGTACTTATGTGTGTCTGTACATATGTATATGCATATATATGTATGTACATGTGTATATATGCATATATATTTGATAAAAATCTGAAAAGTTAAACATGTGTTGCCCTATTGTTTCTTTCAGCCTAGTGGTTGAAAATCTCATTCATTCATTCATTCATTCATTCATTCACTCACTCATCTCTTACTTATGTGCTCAACACTTTGTGAGCCTAAGATACCACACCAAGTGCCAGATCTAACAGCGCTAAGCAAGATAACCCTCACATGGGAAACAACCTGTTTTATTCCTGGATTCGACAAATACTTCTTTTGACCTAATGGGTGCCTGCATTTTGTTAAGACCTAACAGTGGCCGTATGATTAAAAATAAAAATTTTATAGGCAGAACTGTTTACCTTTTGTAGGCAAAAGTTCATCTTCGCTATGGACTTTGCTGACGTAACTAACCCATATCACTGTATCAGTCACAAAACACCGAACTAAAAACATCTCCGAGCATATGTCGTACATGTATGTTATACGTGCTCTGCCATACCCGAGAGCCCCTCCTCAGGACGATCCTGGAGACAGGCAGACGTCTGGCACTTTCCTTTACAGTTAACGCTTTTCCATCTCTCTTTGCACAAGGACGCAAAGCCACAAGCTGAGGACACTTGATAGCAAACAGCATCTCCTGCAGTTTGCTGTGTGTTCGTAAACATTTCTTATACCATCTCATTTTAACCAAATAATACATTTTAGATTTTTAAAGTCCTCTACGCCAGTCCTGTATGGCTAACTACCCAAGTTCACTCTCAGACACAAAGTGGCCCATTTTCAGATTCCACACTTTGTAAGGAAACACGTATGATTTGACTTTGTTAAGCTTTGGTTTTAAACACTTTATTTCCCCCTCAAGAGTTAGGATTTATCCTGTGCATGAACGTGTGAAAGTGGATACACAGCCACAGATATTTCGGTCTTGGGTGTTTTGTGAAATGCAAGTGTCAGGCGTGAGCTGCACTTTCTCTTTCATGCCGGTTCCTGTTTGCTGGTATGTTATTCCATTTTCTGTTAGTTTTCCTTCCCATTTTTGGGGGTTTCCAGCCCAGTGTATACCGTAGCTGGCATCCATCAGGACATGCCATTTCCCGGTCTTCCAGGCAACACCACTGGAGGAGAACACTTGTAACTGTCCACCCCCCATTACAAGAGCAATTCAATGAGGAATTGCTCATTAGAATGACGATCTCATTGTTCCTGTGAAGGAGGAGTCAGGAGGGGGAGAAAGGGTTTCCTGTCAATGTACTATTTATGACATCTCCACTTGGTTTAATAGAAACATACTATTTTTAAAGAGGTATTATAGATTATAAATCTAAATGGGACTTACAGCTAATGGGATTAGCATGCAATAATTTGATTTGTTTGGAGGGGTTAAGGCAAAAGTACATAATTAGATATTTCTAGACTTTTGGAAAAGAATATAAAGAATGCATCAAATATAAAGAATATATAAAATGTATAGAATATATTCTATGACTTTTTTAGTTTCTAAAGGAACATTGAGAATCAAGACTGCACTTTTTGAATGAACCTCATTTTTAAATATATATATTCACATATAAATACATATATGTATAGATACAAAATGTATTTTATAAAGACAAATATGTATATATATATACAAATGTATAACTAACATATTTTGTAAAGAGAATATATAAACACATACATGTTTATACATGGCATATGGTTTATAATTACATATGTACACGTATATATATATACACACATATGTGTATATAAAAATATATTTTATAATGACAAAACATTTTTCTATAGAACAGAGCAAGTTTGAATTAGAATGAATTAGAGAAATAACATCAATATCTATAAAAACTCGATAAGACAGAAAGTAATAGTGTAACAGTTACATAATATAGTCTATAAACCTCATTACCAAGATTATCAATCTCTCCACTTTTATCACTTTCCACAATTCATCACAATATACATTAATTACTTTCTTTTTCACTGCTACTTAGAGAGAGAAAACTAATTTAGACTAGCAAAACTTCTGCTTGTTATATTATTTTATTCTGCATTTAAAAGAGGGTCATCATTTTAGTGCACAGTTTGAAGGTATCAGCATAGATGCCACTACCACTGGCATTTGAACTTGAATATGACACTGTTCCAACAGTCAACTGTATATCAAGTAAACACAAGGAAAGGGGAGCAGAATTCAGAATCTCTGATTCACGAAGAAAGGATTTAAACATCTGAAATAAAACTACCCTGTGGTGGTATTGTGTTCCCCAAAATATTGTGTACTCTAATAAATTTATCTGGGGTCAGAGAACAGACAGCCACTAGATACAAAGGCTAGAAAATGGTGGCACTCACACCTTTAATCCTAGAGATAGAAATCCCTATGGATCTCTGTGAGTTCAAGGCCACATTGGAAATAGCCAAGCTTGGTGACACACGCCTTTAATCCCAGAAAGCCAGCCTTTAATCCCAGGGAGTGGTGGTAGAAAGCAGAAAGATATATAAGGCGTGAGGACCAGAAACTAGAAGTTTTTTGGCTGGTTAAGCATTTGGGCTGGTTAAGCATTCAGGCGTTCCAGCAGCAGTTCAGCTGAGAGCCATTGGGATGAGGACACAGAAGCCTCCAGTCTGAGGAGACAAGACCAGCTGAGGATCCAGTGAGGTGAGATAGCTGTGGCTTGTTCTGTCTCTCTGATCTACCAGCATGGACCCCAATAACTGGCCTCAGGTTTGATTTTATTAATAAGAACTTTTAAGATTCCTGCTACATCTGGCGCCCAACGTTCGTGGTACGAATTCATGAAAAAGCTGTTTGCCTGTGGCCTTGTGAGCCCAAGCTCAGGCCCAAGCTACACTCAGCCGGTAGGATTTGCTGAAGGAGACAGAGGCAGTAGGATCCGGAGTTTGAGGCCGGCCTAGGAGGCTTGGGAGAAGCTTTGGCCTGGACTGAGCCACAAACAGTGGTGGGACCATGGAAGCAGTGGCTACTGCTCCACATTGCCAGCTCCTTCTCATCATGTTGGTGACTGCAGTGATGCTGCTACCTGGAACAAAGGGTTTACTGCTGCTGGTTCAGAGAAGAATTGCCAGGACCATC